TGTAGTCACCTTCATTAATTATCTTAAACAGATCCTCTGGATAGCTTGCTGCAGCTTCTACCTTAGCACTTGCTGCTTTACTTTGCACTTGTATGTTATGGAAACTTCTTCCCCTAAACCTCATCAACCAACCTCTGCTAGCTTCAAACTTTTCTTCTGCAGTTTTCTCACCTCTCAGCCTTCATAGACTTGAAGAGCATTAGGGCCTTGCTCCAGATTAGGCTTTGGCTTATGGGAATGTTGTAGTTAGTTTGATCTATGCAAACCACTTAAATGTTATCAGCATTAAGTCTGTTCTGCTTTCTTATCATTTGTGTGTTCACTGGAGTAGCACTTTTAATTTCCACCAGGAACTTTTCCTTTGCCTTTATGACTTGGTTAACTAGTTAATGCAAAACACCTAGCTTTTGGCCTGTCTTGGTTTTCAACATACTTTCCTTACTAAGCTTAATCATTTCTAGCTTTTGATTTTAAATGAGAGTCAAGCTACTCTTCCTTTCACTTGAACACTTAGAGGCCATCGTAGGGCTGTTAATTAACCTAATTTCAATGTTGCTGTGTCTCAGGGAATAGGAAAGCCCAAGGAGCAGACAGAAATGGGGAAATGACTGGTTGGTGGAGCACTTAAAATATTTATCAGACAAGTTTGCTGTCTTATATGGGCATGGCTTATGGCACCCCCCAAAACAATTACAATAGTAACATCAAAGATCATTGATCACAGGTCATAACAAATATAATAATAATGGAAAAAGTTTGAAACGTTGCAGGAATTACCAAAATATGACAGACACGAAGTGAGCTGTGTTGGAATAAATAGCATCTGTAGGCTTGCTTGATGCAGGGTTGCCACAAACCTTCAATTTGTTTAAAAAAAAAAAGCACTATCTGCAAAATGCAATTAAGTGAAGTGCAATAAAACAAGGTATGCTTCTATATAGTTTTATGGAAACCAGGCACAGAGTTTGGGGGCTGGATTTTAGGGCCACTATGAGGATTGCAGATAAAGGAGCTGGAAATCAACATAGGGCTACCATATTTTTGAAAAGGGATCGGGTGGAGAGGGAGGTGGGAGGGGGGCCCGGGATGGGGAATACATGTAAATCCATGGCTAATTCATTTCAATGTATGACAAAAACCACTGCAATGATGTAAAGTAATTAGCCTCCAACTAATAAAAATAAATGGAAAAAATAAATAAATAAAAAAAAAAAAAAAGAAAAATGAGCTAGAAAAATTCCATCCACCAATCTAAGGAATCAGCATGAGGATTATATCATCTCAGGGTTTGGGTTCAAAAAAAGTTGACCCCATAATAAATTAGAACCTCACGCTTATGACTCTGTGTGTGTGTGTGTGTGTGTGTGTGTGTGTGTGTGTGTATTTAACTTCATACCACCTACAAAGCTGAAAAATTAACATGAAAACTGGTCCAGAACCAGGGAAATCCAAGGACCTTGGCAAAGGCAAAGGTGAAATTTCCTTGTTAAGACTCTTCTAAACCTAGAGTACATAGGATTCCCTTGGAAAACATTAAAAATGTATTCATGGTCAAAACTTACAAAACTTATAGTAAAGTAAATTACCAGGAGGGAGAATGAACAGGTAGATTTAAGTCATAGAATTTCTACTCCAGGAAACATAGGTAACAGTCTGAAAGAGATCTTAAATGTGTTAAAAATATTCACAGAGATAAAGAAAGGAATAGAAATTGTAAGAATAGGATAGTATGGAAAAAATGGGCAGATTTAGAGGAAAAAACCAGAATTTTTCCAATGAAAAAACATATTTGTTGACAAGCACATTGGACAGGTTAAAAGTAAAGTCATAGCTATGGAGAGAAATGCTGAATTGAAAGCTGAAAAAAGTGAAAGTATTAATCACTCAGTCCTATCTGACTCTTTGCGACCCCATGGACTGTAGCCCGCCAGACTCCCTGGCCATGAAATTCTCCAGGCAAAAATACTGGAGTAGCCATTCTCTTTTCCAGGGGGTCTTCTCAACCCAGGGATTGAACCTGGGTCTCCTGCATTGCAGGTAGATTCTTTTTTTTTTTTTTCTCTCCGCACCGGACCCCGGTCCCGACACGCGGTGCAGGTAGATTCTTTACCATCTAAGCTACCAGAGAAGCCCAAAGCTAGATCTGAGGAAATCACTGGAATGCATCCCAGAGAAATAGAAATATGGCAGAAATGTTAAGAGACTTGAAGGACAGGCCAAGAGACCATGTATATTTCTAATAGGAGTTTTCCGTAATGTAGAGACTTGGTATAGATTTCATTGATTATCTTAAAAATTGTAGGGACAAGACACTAAAATGATAGAATGTGTAACTTCTAAGCCTTGAAAGAAAAAACAAGATTAAAGAAAACTCAGGCTGTTAAATAAAGGATAAGAAGAAAAAAGGCAAAGAGAAAGTATGTCCAGTATATCAGTAATCATGATAAATGCAAATGGATTAAACATGCCTGTTAAAAGATAGAAATTTTCAGATTGGATGGGGAAGGAGGAGCAAAATAAAGCAGCCGTAAGCTAGTAAATCATGACCCAGAAAAGTTGAAGGATAGAAGACATATGAATATATAATAGGCAGGAGTTCACTGAAGCAGTGTTTATAATAGGAAAAATATAAGGGGGAAAAAGACCTAAATATGCATTAGGGGAATCAATTTTAATATTCTGAGATATTTTATATAAAAATAATGGAGTAATATTCAATACTATCAAAATGGATCAACTGGGTTTATACGTATCAGTATGGGTAAGTCAAACTATATTGAGTGAGAAGTGCAAGTTGCATAATATGATATTTATATCTACTTCCTACTGAAAATATCCCTTACCTGGCTTCATTTATTTGTGTTTCATGCCATTTAACACCAATGTTATTTTATATTATAACAGGTCATGGAAAAGTACTCTGTCTCAATTTTGGTTAGGGCTCCTAAAGACTGAACACAAAGTGTGCATGTATGCATGCTAAGTCGCTTCAGTCATGTCTGACTCTTTACCACCCAATGGACTGTAATCTACCAAGTTCCTGTGTCCATAGGATTCTCCAGGCAAGAACACTGGAGTGGATTGTCATGCCCTCCTCCAGGGGATCTTCCCGACCCAGGGATCGAACCCATGTCTCTTATGTCTCCCGCACTGGCAGATGGGTTCTTTACTGCTAGCATCACCTGGGAAACCTTGAGCACAAAACAATATGTATAAAATGGTGTTCCCAAAAGTTACTTAGACTGTCTGTGCAGAACTTGTGAAGGCAGTATGTGAAGACCAGTTTTGGAATCCTATCTTAGGTAATAAAGAAAGTTGAAGGTAAAGAAAGAAAGGAATAAAAATTCCTTTGGATAAAATGGGACGGCTGTGGTATTTTCTTTTGGAGAACTTGACCTCAGTTCCTGGAGTTGGTAGACAGAGACCAGACCTGTGCTCGGGAAAAGTCTAAAACCAGAGGGTTTTTACTGATGCCACTGAAAGGGAAGTGGTTGCATTCAGAAGGCTGTTATGCTCAGAGTTTTTCAGGGCAAAGATGTGGGCATAGCAGAGAAAATACTGGCTAACCTGGAGTTGAATTAAAGGGACTTGGTTCATAAGGATCCTTAGAAGGGTAATGGGACCCCTACAGAGAATGTATGAAGCTGGTTGCCAGAAACTGGAGACTTAGGGTAGACCTGTATGTGGCTGGCTGGAAAAGACCTTGCCAGTGCTGTGGGAATACTACAGGTGAGATCTCAACCATGGGAGCTCTCCATGGAACCACAAAAACAACTCATGAGAGAGAGTCAGCTTTTGACTATCTGCCAAGTATAGAGAGTACTGAAACCTGGTGAGCATAGCATCACAACCAAAAGTAAGGCTTTTCCTAACTGTTACTGTTCCTCCTTTTCCCAGTTTCAAACCTGGAAGGATCAGAGACCAAAGCAAACAAACAGCTAGGGAAGGAGGAGAAGCAGAGATGGGGAAATGGAGAAGTCCCCAGACATCCCCTTCTCCCAGCACAGGCAGCTAGGCTAGACCCTGCCCAGGGAGGTAACTGAGACTTTTTTGGGTTTTTTTTTTTTTTTTTTATTGAATTACCACATGCATGTAGAAAAGTAGACAAATCCAGAGTGTATATCTTAAAAGATTTTCACAGAACACACTTGTGTCACCAGTATCCAGATCAAGAAACAGGACATGTACCAGAAGCCCATGTGCCCCTTCCCAGATAAAAGCAACTTTATTTTTTGTCTCCCAGTTTATTTTTAAAAATTACTAGTGGAAATAATTTTAAGTGCAACATAGTACAAAGACGTTACTCATCCCTTTCACCTGGATTCCTTAATTGTTAATATTTTACACTTAATGGAAAGATTCGTGTCAGCTTTAAGATGGTAGTTCTTTCTAGAAATGGAAGGAAGGGATTAAAGGGTGAAGGGTGTAAGGAGACTTGAACTTTACAGTGTTTATTGTTTTATGTGAAATGGCAAAATGTAACTCATTATAAGTGGTGAGTTACTCTAACTTTTTGTGTTTGAAGTTTTAAAAAATTCTTCATACAAGAGAAGATTTGAGTTTTACCATCTAGGACGTAGGGAGCTTTTGAAGTGTGCTTTTTATTGTTGAAATAGCTATGTCTTTATGACTTCTCTGCTCTCTGTCCTCCACTATGGATTAAGACACTTAAGTGAGCTATAGGGTTGGTTCACCTCAGCATCATTTTTCTTTTCTTCTCCTCCTTTTCGCATCTCAGTACTAAGTGCCCAGTGGTGTCTGACATGGTAAGATTAAAACTTGCACTTTTCCTAATAGATGTAACTCTCTTCCTGATTTGCAGTAAGCAGGGGCTGCTTTTAAGCAATTACCCATCATTTGGGGCCATCATAGATACTGTGCTTTGGTTCAGGTCTTAATCAATAATTCATATGTCAGTAGGAGCCCCATTAGTTCAGGTGAAGGCAGATGTCTTTCTAATCAAAATGTTCCATTTTCCAAATGACTTTTCTTTTTCCCAGAGAGTTGTGGTTATAGAAGACATAAAAAGATGGAAAACTATGTTGGAGCTTCCTGATCAAAGCAAAGAGAATATAGTTGAAGTCTTACGAGAATTAAAGAAGAAAATACCTTCCAGAGAAGTGTTAAAGTCAACAAAGATAGGTATGTTCCTTCTGAATTTTACGAGAAGTGCTTCCGTTTTATCTCTTTCTTTCTTTCCTCCCTCTCGTTATCTATCATATCAGTACTTCTCAAACTATCTGTGGTGAGAGACCATTGTTTAAAAAATTCTCCATTGATTGTAGACTAATACTTTAATAGTATAATAAAAATTATCAGGTAAATGAAATTAAAATATGCGAAGTGAAAGCCCTGTTCTTTAAAAAAATTAGATTCAACAGATGTGGAAGTACTTTGTCAGACTACTATAAAAGTTTCTAAATGCTTACTTCAGTTTCTGTACTTTTTGCATGATCTGGCATGATCTGTGGGTAATGTTTTGAGTGTGCTTGATGCTGGGTGTGCAGAAATGAAGAAGACATGATTGTGACCTCAAGGAGTTTAGGGTTTGGTGGAGAAACCAGCAAGTAGATAAATGTAAGTAGTAAAATAGTTTAGATTAAAAGTAAAAACATATGAATAATGTCTGTGGTACCATTCTGATCTGTGCAAGGTGTGTGCTGGCACAGAGAACAGAGTAGTCTTACATCTGGGGAATTCAGAAAAAACTCCATAGAAGTGGCAACAGGTCACTTAAATCTTGGCTTTTCTGTCTTGAGTAGAAGTAACTTCCAAAGCATGGTTTGTAAAAGCAAAATGATAGCAACTTTTGCTGCTACGTCACTTATTACAGCATTGGAGTTATCTTAAGAGGTAAGTCAGGAACTGCATCGAATTACCATTTTAGTACAGTACACAACTCTGAATAATATGCAAGGGAGGCCACCATGTGTTCCTCAAGCTGCTCCCAAGTCCCCAGGGAGCCCAGGGTAGTCACTCACAGCTGCTGTTCTTGCCCTCGCCCGTGCAGCCACTGCCTTCTCTGCCTCCCCTTGACCTCTTGTTCATGAGAAGCAGGAGAGAGAGTAGCTTCAGACTGGCGCTAACAGCTGGCAAGAGCTGTGTGAAATCCCCCAGAGGTTCCCCCAAGAGTCTTGAGAGTTGCACCCCTGTAATATAAACCAGAATCTGAGAAAATTAGATGCTTAAAGAACATAAAACCCTATCATTATAGCCAAGGAGATTCTCCCATCTGCTGCTGGATTTTCTCTTTATAGGTTGTGGTCACTAGAGGGCAATAAGACCATTCATATGAGCAGATAAGGTATTTCCACCAGTAGAGGGTACTAGTGGTTAATATTTTATGACATGTGCATGTACATATGTGTATATATATGTTCATATTTAGGCACACCACAAATACACTTATAATCAGATCTTAAATGTCAACATAATAGACTGGAATTATCCTATAAATACAGAACAGATGACAGTTTTAAAAATCATTTCTGCTTGTCCTTTGAGTACAGTTGCAAGTATGCTAAGTGCAATTATGAGTATGCTTTCAAGAATGGGTGTGTCTGATGTTCAGAGATTTCAATTCAAGGATCATAATGAAACCACAACAAGGGAGTATGACTTAGGAGGACCTGGAAACCATCCAACATTTGAGTCTTGACCTTATCCCAAGCCTTGCCTAAACCTGAGGTTGTGTGGAATATAAGGGTTCCTCGGTTCCTTTGTAGTTAGGTTAGTTGCTAGCCTGAAGATTCATTTGTATCATTGCCTGAGAATGTTTACTTTCTCCCACCTTTAGAGTCCTTCCTGTCCCTGTCCCATGGGATTTCTGTGAGTGCTCTGATGATGAGAAGTTAGCCCAAGGAGCACACGTGTTGAGTAGAGAAGATGTTAAAGAATGTGTCAGGCAGGGCTGTGTCATGTGAGCTGTACAGAGAGAACATGGTGCATGCAGAGACTAAAAGAAGTCTGGTATATTTGAAATCTAATCAGTTAGAGAGTCTGGATCAGATGGAAAAGGCTCTCTGTAAGTCATTTGAAACTATTTGGTCTTAGGATGGGTTTGGATTTATGGCAGGTTGGCCCCCTGGGCCTCTCCTAGCATCCTGTGACAGAGTAAACCGGCCCCAAACCATTGCCTGGCCTCTGTCTGTAGGCTGCAGGCACTGAAGTGGGTTGCACAGTGGGGGGAGAAAAAAAACTGTTTAGTCTTAACATGTGTATTAGTTACCTCTCCCTGTGTACAAATTACCCCCAAGTTTATCAGCTTAAGTATTTGTTATCTCACACAGGTTTTCTGAGGGTCAGGAATATGGGAGCTGTTTGTCTGAGTGTTTCTGACTCATGGTCTCTTAAGAAGTTACAATCAAGCTGTTGGCTGGGGCTGTAGTCATCTGAAAGCTTGAGCAGGGCTTGAAGATCTGCTCCTAATGGCTCACTTAGCATGGGAGACAACTACTCATGGGTTATGAATACCAAGAGGTGAGGATCAGTGGGGCTGTCTTGTAGACTGGCTATCACAGCATGTGTTTCTTTAAATTTCACCTAGATATATTCTTCTTCCTGGACCTGCAGATTTATGTTCATTTGTGGGAAGTTTTACAGCGGTTATCTCTTCAAAAGCACCTCCTTTTCATTGTCTATTTCTTCATTCTGGGATTCTACAATTAGAAATAGGTTAGATCTTTAATTTTCCATGTTCTTTAGCTCATATGTCTCCTTGTTTCTCATAAAATTCTGGGCAATTTCTTCAGAGATATGTCTTCCAAGTCACTAATTCTCCTTTCAGTTGACTCTGATTTGCTGTCTCACCCATTCATTGAGTTCTTTCTTTCTGAAACCATTTTTTTTATTTTTGCAAGCTTTCTTTCTTCCCAAAATCTGTTTCTTTTAAATGTTACTTGTACATACTTGTGATTGTGCCTTTTATTTCTGCAAACATATAGTGTATAGTTCTTCTGTAGTCATCTGACTATTCTTTGTTGTCCTTAGGGTTTAACTCTATTGTTTATTGTTTCTGTTGACTCTCCTGGTGTTTGCCTTTCCCTGTGCTTGTTGATTTTTCTTTTTTTTCCGGCTGTGCTATGAGTCTTGTAGGATCTTAGTTCCCCAGCCAGGGATTGAGCATAGGCCCTCAGCAATGAAAGCACAGAGGCCTAACCATTGAACTGCCAGAGAATTCCTTGCTTGTTGATTTTTAATTGTGAGCTCATTATTTTCTTTCAATCTGTGGGAATTCTGTGGGGCTAAACTGGAAACATTTCTCTGTAGAGGGGATTAGCTTCTTTTTTTGTTTGTGCCAGTAGTCAAGGACCACTTCTGACCTGATATGCTTTAGCACACCACTCAAGTTATCAAGCACTCCCAGCTTGGAATCAGAGTCCCAGCATTAGCTCTCTCATTTCACCACTGACCCAAAGCAAAGTATTTCAGTAGTGTTGCTATTAGCATCAGCCCTTAGGATAACCCTATGCCTTTAGCCTCCACTTATTTTTTTTGAGATGATTTTTATCCAGAATCAAATTCTATTGCAGTGAAAGTGTAGTTTTAGTCCACTATAAAGCCTCAGATCCTAAAGATAATAAGTGGTTGTTATCAAAAGATTTTTGAATTCTTATTTGCAGCTTAGAAATACTGTCTCTGCATAGGGGAAGAGTGTTTGAGAAAAGCAAACTTGAAAGCAGGAAGCCCAGTTAGGAAGCTACTAAAACATCTAGATGAGAAATTAGGGTGGCCTGGGAGGGGTTGTAATCATGAGGATGGAGAAACATGGTTGGAATCAAGAGGCATAAATGCATTAAAGTCCAGTGAACCTAGAAGTTGATTGGATGTCAGGGAATGAAGAGAAAAGAGTGAAGACTAAGGCCCAGATTTCTGATACAGACAAATAGGTGTATGGCAGCACTACTCATTTGGATAGGAAACAGCATGTTTGGAGGTGGGGGGAATGGTAAGTTCAGCTTTGGACTCACTGTGTTTGACATATTGTGGGACATCCAAGAGGAAATATCCAACAGAATGTTGGACATATAAGGCTAGAGCTAAGGAGGGACTATAAATATATACTTGAGAGTCACCATCAGCATGTAGTGAGAAAGCAAGGCAATTGCCCAGGAAGAGTTTGTAGGAGAAGCAAAGAGCCAAATCCCAAATCCTGAAGCCCACCGGCAGGCAAGAGGCTTGTGGGCGATGGGGAAGGTGTGGCCCGGGAAACAGGAGAGAATGTTGCTGTGGAGTGAGAAAGAGGGCTTCTGAGACGGGATTCGTCAGCACTGTCCGTCGTTGTCAGAGGGCCAAAGAAACTAATTCTAAAGTTGCATGTTGGCTTTTGCAAAGTAAGGTCATTAATGATTTTGCTAAGGACAGTTTCAAAGGCATGGTTAAGGGCAGAAGCTTGAGTGAAGAGGAGGTAAGGGAATGAACTGTGAAAATAGACAACTCTTTCAAGAAGTTTGGTATTGAAAGAGAGAGGTGGCAATATCAGAAAGGAATGTGGGATTGAAAAAAGTTCTAATTTTAAAAATAGAGAAGTCAACCTGTTGAGCAACAGGTTCATAGGGAGGCCTTAATCAGGGAGAATGGACCAGACTTTGCAGGAATTGACTGTGGAAATGAGAATGCCAAGATGCCTCTCGTAGCCTCTTTACTGGCACTTGCTTTCTGCCTTCACATACACTTAAATCTTCTCCTTTAATTCTCTGCCATCTTTTCCAGATACCTTGTTTCTCTTCTTCTTTATATAGTTAGATTCCTTTAAATATGATTAATAATCGCAACTCCCATTTCTGGCTTTTCCACTCTTTCATTCTGTGCTGGCTTCACCCATAACCACTATTCTTCTCTCTTGGGACACAAGTGATTTCATTCTGTCCAAATCCAATAGTCTTGTCTCAGTTCTCATCTTCCCAGAACCATGAATTTGAGACCATTGATTACTTTTTTCTGTTAACATAAATGACACTAACTTGTTGCTAATTCTTTATCTATTTTATAAATGTTTATTTCCTTGAAGTCCCTATCTGAGTTTGTAGTTGCTTATTTAATTATTTACTTTGTTTTTTTATTTTCAGTAACTCTGTGCCAGCAGGACCATGCTGTTTTTTTTTTTTTTTTTTTGTATATTTTATTCACCAGCGTATTTTAAG